AGCAGAGATGCGATCCTAAGGCCACCAAAACGGATCCCCTCAACACCTCGGCTGCGCCTAGAAATTCTGTCCATGAAAGTAATGAACAGAATCGGCTTATGCTATTTATTTGCTTCCAAATAGCAGAGCAGTGTCCTTAAGCATTTCTAATTACTGATTTATAATATTCAGCTTTTGCACATCTCAATTCTTTGGTAACGCGATTTCTTACTTTTATATACAACCATGTCAGTGTCTGAGTGACTCTTAATTGCCATTTTTAGTGCCAAATCCCTTTTCTTCATAAGTTTTCTTATAGAATCGTTCAACCAAGGCAATGAGTTTCTTTCTTTTAGAAGTTATTTCTACTGATAACCTCATTAACCCTATCCATTAACTCATCACAACAAATCTGCACATCATGGGCATCCAGTGACTTACTCCATCGTGTTTTTCCCAGATCTTTTTCCAGTTCTGAGAAATCATGTTTTAATATAGTGAGACCATATGTTTTAGATTTTTTAGGGTTCAGAAAGTGTTTTTTGGTTAGTTTTCTTGATATTAAGGTCATATTATCTGACAAACCAGTAATAAAATTGCGTGATTTTACTATTCTTTCTGCCCTATTAGCAAAAACTAAATCAATTTGTGTTTGAGTTGGTTTTGTGATTCGAGTTGCACCTTTAATAATTTGATAAAAATCAAATTAAGTCACTACTGCTTAACATAATCTTCTCTTAGTTTTGTCAGACCAGTCAATGTTGAAATCCCCAAAGAGTAAAACTTCAGATTTATGAGTAAATGCTTTTACTAGTTTTTCTAAGTTTTTATAGAATGACTTGTCAAAGGAAGGTGGATTTTATATTACCATAGTTTGAAAATGCATTCATGGTGATAGACAGATGTTCAGACACAGATATTCAATCTGTAAGACATTATTTAGCTCAATCCTGGTACAATTTATATAATCCCTAATATAGATTGCAGCTCCCCCTCCTTTCTATGGAGCCGGTCCTGTGACATGGAATAAAAAATTTTTTCACGTGGCCACACGATAACACGTGCACACGTGATAATTAATGGGCTAATTTTGAGCAGCCTTGTTGTGATACACAGACAATATTGTAGTTAGATTATATATAGACGGCATAGTTTTGTGTTTTAACTGTTTAAATGCGCACATATTATTATTATTTTTTTATTATTTATTTTTTGGTGTATGCCAATATAAATGGATCATCTTTCATAGTAGGCTTTTTATGAAATGACAATGAACGTTGAATGAATGCTGTGTGTCGGGAAACAGATTTTTGCTGTGTTCCTGAACGCAGCATAACTTCGACTCCCTCTGCGGCTGAGGCAAGGGGGACAGGAGCCTGTGCCTCAGCTCAACTTTTGAAAGTTGAGCATCAGAAAAAGAAAATAAAGCTTTTTCGACAAACAACTCCAGTTGTGACCTGGGACTTATAGCTGCAGCACATAAAACTAAGAAACACCTACTTAATGCCTAATCTAAGGTACTGACGTAGCAACGTCATTAATTTTATTAAAATCAAAATAAATTAGTTTAATTCAGACTTGTCCATGTAAACAACAAACTGTCTGCACAGAAACGACAACATTAGCTATGTGGTGGCCACGACATAACTATCTCGTGGGCATGCGATAGTCATTGCATGGGCATGCATTATTTTCTCGTGGCCACGTGAAAAAAAAAATTCCATGTCACCGGACGGGCTCCGTACATTTCCCAGTTTTCCTGTCATTTCTATAACATTTATAGCCAGGTATATCAAACTAGTTTGGATTTTACTGTGAAGCCAAGTTTCACTCAAAGAGAGAGTGAAATTTGAGTCCATTAATAAAGTTCTAATTTCATCAAGTTTTGGAAACAAACTTCGAATATTAATATAACCACGAAAAAAACCCTTTGGTTTACATTTCCTGTCCCACAGAACTTTGCATGACTCACAGTTGAAAAGATTTGGCCAGTTTTAATTTTAGTCACAGGTCTGTTGGAGATATTTGTTTCAGAACCACATTTAAGTTTCTGTTGATCTTCCGTGGTGGTTGTCGAAAAAAAGGAGCCGCAGACTTTACCTTAGTTTTATTGAAGGTCGGATTTTCCAATCTGGCTTGGATTTTTCCACCTGAAGAAGCAAATGCTGGGATAGACACTTGCCCCAAAAGTGGCTGCTGTTGTCTTGAAGCCGGTAGACAAACCACCGTTTGCCGCTGTGTCTTTGGAACACTGCAGTTGTCCGCCCGCACAGGGGTCCAGCGTCTCAGCTGTCAAATCCACTGCACCAACATAGTTTATCCGCTCCAGCGTGGAGAAGGTCAGGACAATCTCCACCGATGATCCAAAAACTTCACTCCGCTGTAGGTCGGCCAAACAGCTGATCGGCTCCACTGACAGGTGGCCCAGTCATGCTGACGTGTCCTCCTCTGCTAACCCGAAACTGATGTTCAGCTCAGAGGTGATCAGCTGTGAGCTGTCAGCTCCCATGAAAGGCCCAGGATTCGGTTGAACGTCCCCAGCCAGAAGTAGCAAAAATAAATAAATTGCGAGAGCTCCGGTCCTTTGAACTCTCTTTTGAGACGACTGTTGGTTTGAGTTTTACCTTTTGCATAACCATGATCCAAAATGGCTGAAAAAATTACATAATATCCATATCCAAAGTTATTAACCACAGAATCCAGTCCAGTCAGATTGAGGAGATATTTAAGTTTGACAACTGCGCTGAACAGCCGCTGGAGTGACAAATAATCCACATATGCACACGCACAGACAGAAAGTAGTCAGCTCCCAAAACCACCGTCTTTGTTTGTCATGATACTGTTTGTCACTCTTTGATTTTAAAACATTTTTTTCCGATGACTGGCTGATAATAATAGAGAAACAGAGAACTCTCAATATATTTAAAAACTGTGATTTATGGAGCCCGACAAATCACAAAAACTCCTGCTGGCTTGACCTACCTCGTCTCATCTCAGCCACGGCATCTTCCTTACTGTTCTGATTTTGCAAACCAAACTAGGCTCTGTTCTGTGAAACTGTTATACTTTACCTTTGTAATTTTTGGTGTGTCTGATGCTTCAGACTCAAATTCAGGGTCATCCATAATGAAGGAGAGCATCTGCTGGGCCACAGGGGTCTCTGGGTCTGTATCGGATTCCTCTGCTTTGGGTGTGCTTCCTTTCTTTTTGGTCTGATGTCGACGTGGCTGCTCGACAGCAGGAGTTAAGGTCAGAGAGATGGGTGCAGCTGTCTGACCCCTGGGCTCTGCACCTTTTAATGACCCACTTGGTTTTGTGGAGTGAATCACTGGGCTGAAACGATATGTTAAAAATTTAATTCCACAAAAATTCATTTGGAGATCAGTTTATGCATGCTGTATACAGAATTTATTTCATAATGGTGTTCTTTCTGTGTAAACGTCTAGTTGACTTGTGCTACTCTTAAATGTTTCATCTTTATCTCCCAATGGCAAAAGGTGAATATAGGAAATAAAATATTTGCTCACGTCTCTGTGTGTGTCTGTCTGTTAGCAAAACCACACAACATTGATTTTTATTAAAACCTGTAAAAAATAATCATTAGACACGACTCTAAAAATGATTAACTTTGGGAGTTAATCCAATTCAATATGGCAGCCACAACCAACTGACCTTAAAAAACACAAAACATTGTTTACAGCTCAGTCAACTGTACAGAAAGTGACCCATAACAAGTTGTGGTAGTCACTGAGACTAAGTCCCAAAACAAATTCTGATCTTTTTTTTCAAATATTATTAACTATATGGAATAAACTCTGTTAGCAAAATATCTTAAAATGTGTAGATTAGCTTATGTATCTTATTGATGCATCTTAAAATGTATTTTGATGAATCTTTCAGGAAATAATCACTAGATGTACATCTACAACTTTTAGAAATAACCCACCACTTGCCACCTTAGAAAAAGCAAAGATTGTGATAACGCTGTCAGTTTTAGAGATATTGTCCTTAAATTTAGGGTGTTGGTTGCTAAGAGTCTTTCACAACACATAGACAAAGTCGTACATAATGTGCAAAATGTTTGATTAAAACTTTAGCAATATATGTCTGTAAGCAAAATATTTCATGAACAACTGGATGAATACTCAAAAAACCTTCCAAAAGTAATCATTGGATGTACATCTATAATTGAATAACTTGGACCCACCCCGATTTAAGATGGCTGTCACACATGATCTACATCGGCACAAGAATGGCTATAATAATTTTACAGATCATGAGATAAAATTAATTCTGGCAGTAGTTTAAGTCATTTCTCAATATGAGATTATCTTTGTTTAAGCTTTTGGCCAGAAAGACAGTGATTGATGTACATTCCTACAAAGAATGGCAGGCCCTCATTTATAAAATGATTCAATGTTTTTTCAGCAGAGAACATGGGGCACATTATCTAAAAAAACAGAAAATGTCATGGTTACATTTGGCTAAGACCACAGCTCTAAATGCAGCAAGTCAGAAATAATTCACATCTTCAAAGTTTTTTTCCACCACAATGCTGATATATTTTAAAAATAATTTAGTGTTTGCTCGTCATGGGCAGTAACCCTTTCATAACGGAAAGTAGTGACTTACAAATAAATGTGGTCATAATGACAACAAAACAGGAAACCTGTGGGACATTTATCAGAGGTGACGCT